TTGCCAGTCTAGCAAATAATCCAATTCATGTCAGCATTTTCTGATGTCAAATAACACGTGTGAGAGTTGGAAGGTCGTATAATAGACTATATATTAGTATTAGTCACCAAAATGATTATCGGTTAGAAAATTCAATGCATTGTAAATATATTCATTTTTCAACGTCAATTGTTTATTCTTATTCTTTTTTTTTGTGTTGGCTTTCATCATCGTATTGTCATTACAATAAAGCATTGACGATATAAATATAGATCATGGACCAAAGTCCAAAAGAAATGGACGTGTGAAATGGTACAACTTACATTTCTTCACACTAACGATTGTTTTTTTTTTCTTTTTGAAATTTGTATGTGATAGCTTTGCCGTTAAAATGTATAGGCCCGTGACAAAAATCAAACAACACCAAGTTGTATGCTTTTAGGTGAGAGTCATGCTTACGCAACTGAAAAGGACAATGTCTATATTGTTTTATATAATCATCCAGCGTATATTGAGAATTTTTAGGGTAGAATTCTTAACTCATGATTTGATATTTTTTTATTTTTTATTTTCTAACATTTTTAGCTAAGAATCAGCTTTTATATCTTTTATTTAAAAGTTTATTTTTATTTTTTCTTAGTTAAAAGTTAAGAAATATATCTTAACCGAAACTAAAAATCTCATCATAAAAATCCCCAATAAACATGACCTAATACATCTTTATCAGATGAAAGGTAATTAAGAAATAATATTCACTTTTTCACAAAAAAATCACTTTTCTAAAACAATTTATCTTCTTATATGCAAGCAGTCGGATTTTAAGATAGCCTTACACAAAATTATTTTTGCCTCTAATATTTTTGAAAGTAATATATACAAGTATAAGTTTTCCAAATTATGATTTTTATTAGAGGTCTTAGAACCACGTGAAAGATGCTCTTTTCGTTTTTCAACACATGAAAGTTAATCTAAGGAATGGGTTTTGTAAAAGAAAAACTAGGGTTGGGTTAAAATATGTAGATTTGATGAATCGAACTGAATCCGATTTAAAACACTAGTATTGTATTCAAATTAAAATTGGTTCAATATTAATTTGTATAGGTTCAAATTTTTGGTATCTGAAGAATTATAATCGAACCTAATCTGAACCAAAATATTCTGAGTACCTAAAAATATCAAAATCAAATTATATAATTAAATATATTAATATTTTAAGATTTAATATTCAAATAATATCCAAGAAAAATATATATTTTGTTTTTGAAATTGTTCCAAGGACTTAGAAATATACATAAAAACCATGACAACAACATTTCTCATTTTAAATTTTTGTGTTGGTCTTTTTTTATTGGATATTTATTTAGCTTTTGGGTCTATCTAAGTACAAATCGATATTTTGGAACTAGAAACTTGAGTAAGATCAAAAACTCAAAATTATATTAGGTTCAATCAGTTTTGAATTTTTTTACTAAACCAAAACAAACCCAATAAATAACCAAATCTAGACCAGTCTTTTATAATGTCTATATAGGGTTAAAATTCATAAATTCGGAAATCTTAAACCCAATAAAATCTAAACTCAAACCGGATTGGTCTCCTGAATGCTTACCCTAAAAAGAACTAATATGGGTAAAGTATTAAGGTCACTATATGATAATATTATCATTGATGATAATGCGACCTTTCACTAGACTCGACTTTCGGCCACAAATCGACAAAAGAGAAGGCTTACTACATTTTGCCGACCATTTGATCACTATATAAATATGTAGTTAGTTAGACACGTCGGATTATAGCAATTAGATTCATCATCGTGTCACGACGAAGATACTCGATTATTGTAATGTGTACTTGAGGGTCGTCGCAAATTAGAAATGAAATAACAAAGTCAATCCCAACTACTCCCTACGTTTCATATTAAGTGTCGTTGTAAAAAAATTTTTGCGTTATAAAATAAGTATTGTTTTCAGTTTTCATTGCAAAATTTATTAATTTTATTATGTAATTTATTTTTCTGTTAGGTAAAATATAGTTAGGTGTATGAGTAACTGTGTTTTTATATATGAAATATATAAAATTAATTGTTTTCTTAATCCGTATGCATAGTTGTAAAGTGACACTTATAATGAAATAGTGGAGTATTTCGTAGTAACTACGTATATTTATTCCATTTTTCAAGCATTTATTGTTATCTATGTTTCAAAGATTATGCCAACAAATACCTCATGTTGAGGCAGGCTAGCGAGCTACGCGTATCTTGTAATTCCGTTTCTTCAGTTTAATTATGCATTTTATCATTGTAAACATGGATAGTTGGATATGTTTTCAAGACAAATGATATTTCCATATGCTAAAAAAACTCACATACTCTCTTTTACGATGTTACCGTAATAAGACCAATCAACAGAATTTTGAGGACATGACCGTTAGGACATTACACACACATCAACAACAACTAGAACAACAGAACGATGCTCCATGCAAGTTAGACGACTCGGAAATTTTAATTCCACGTGGATATTGAAACAGAAAATACAAAGAAATTAAATGAAATTAAGGGAAAAGGCCGTTTGAAGTTTTTTCTTGTGTTCACTTAGTAAGGCTTCTCGCCAACGTAGTTACCCGGAGGGTCGTAGTTACAAGTGATGAAAACTCCTGCACCATTCTCACAGACCACACTAGCACACCCGAGCCTCTTGGTGTCACGCCACACGATTTGAGTGTAGTGACCACACATTCCACTTCCGTCACACGAGTTGGTGTTGTAATTGTATGAGCTGCCTTCAACGACCCATGACTGCACAGCGAATCCTGGTGCCCAGCTCGAACCACTTCCCCAGAATAAGTTCTCACCATATGAGCCGGTTGAATGGGTCATTGAGCAGTCGTAACGCCTCTGGTTCGCCCACCATGTCGCGTAGCTCGCTAGCTTGCCGTCCCAAACCAATGGAGGCAAACCTGATAGGAAATGAATATTCATTTTACAAAAATTAATAACAATACCACTATAAATATAAAAGATATGTAATGGTTAGGTTATATATACTACATGTAAAAGTAAAATTAAACGCAAACAAAGACAATGGAAACCTACGTAACATAGCCATATTACACCTAAATTCATACGCATGTAAACTTTTTGTTTTTGTTTTTGTTTTTGGAAGAATCTAGGGAAAAGACAACAAAACCTAGAGTAATCATATGACCTGTGAAGGATATGGTTTCTTGCCACTTACGGTACCTACATCACCCAGCCATAATCGCTTTTTAAGGACTCCAATCCCGTCTCACAACTAAAACCATATTTAACCCATCTCTACATTTTTCTCTATTTGTATGTCTATAATAATGTTTTTCAAATTTCAAAGAAAATATAAAAATATATTATTTTCATCTATATTTTCACAATAGAAGAATTCTATTATAGAGCATAACACTGGAGAGCAAAATTTCCATAATAATAGAATTCTTCTCTTTTATAAGAAAGTAAAAAAAGAGGGTTGGAAATTGCACTAATATGGTGTATCGTAACAATGTCTATTACTAATAAATACCTAGTCTAGACCGAATAGCATTGTGTGGGTCAAGGAACTGTCTTGCGATGGAGCCAGCTGGTAGGCGCGGGGTGTAAGGAGGCCTATAAACAGGCTTGGGGCTCGGGGTTGGAAGTGGGACCCATGGCTTAGGGACGTAAGGGGTAGGGACAACCGGTGGCCTTGGACGGTAATAGTCTGCATGGACTGCTTGGAAAGCGACCATGAGAAGGGAAATTGTGAAGACAATTACTTGGGTCGTCGATGAACCGGTCGCCATCTTTGTGGTGTCACTATGCAAAACAGGGTTTTGGGTGGTGAAAAGAAACTACTTTGGTGAGTGATTATTTATAAGATATGATTTCAGGAATTAAACAAACTCTGGATGTCAACTACATTGTGGTGGCTTCCATGTTCGATTATGTTTACCACTCTTTGTATGTTTCGTTTTGGGTAAGAGGGATTCTGTACGGTTCATTACTTAATTGCCAATTGGGATCTTTAATACTACTTCTTTTTGTTACATGTATATGAACTACTTCCTGTAACTAACGTGGACTAAAGTGTTTTAAAAATTCACTTTTATTTTTTTTCAACAAGAATATGTCATTTTAGATCTAGAGTTATGTTTTGTTCTTTGCAAAATATAGCTATAGAAATTTTCTTCGTTATCTCATACGTGATAAAATGTTGTGATGGAATTAAATTATAATTTAAAGTATGCAATGAGAGTATATCGATCAATCGCATGAACTGATATTTTAAGTTTCTTAAAAACAAGTGTCATAAGGAAAAGATGATGGTTCATGATTGTTTTAAAATTTTGGATTGACTTGATCAAGTTATTGGTTTTAATTTGATCTTAATATATAAATTAGCAACTAACGGATAATAGATGCGAGATAATTAGATACAACAATGTAGCCGGCCTAAGAATGTTCCTTAAAAAGACTTTATCTACGGCTCCTATGGCTTTTATTATATACAAAACTTTGTTGTGGTCAATGTATATTAGTATTTTACTTCTGGTTGAGTATATTATTTTTAGGTAACTTTGCTTCCTTGTCATACGGTTAGACCATGTCACTCTCGACAACTAGTGGCATTGTTATATGAGCCTTTATAATTGAAAAACTAATAGGCCCATTATTTTGTGGGTTAATCAGTATTAACATATCCATGATTTTCTGGCCGAAAAGCCCAAAAGTAGACGAAACATAAAAATCCTGAAAAGGAAAACACATATCTTAAGTTTTTCTTTTTGCTATAAATTCTTAAGTTTACAAATGATACCGTTAATTACAAGTACAGACTATTAGATTATTAAAAATTTATCAATCCCTGATCAATAAAAACTATGTAAGATACTAAGATGTTAGCATTTCTTCGTATAATGGTTTAGAGTTTACTTTGAGATCCATGTAAGTTTTTCAAGTAATTCAGAATCTAAGAAAAGCAAGTAAAAATAATGATTTACATTATTATTATCCACAACTCGTTACATTTAAAAAGAAAGAAAAAACCCTTCACCCTCAACATGCTATAATAAGCTTATGACCGTAATAAACCATAATTCATCAATAATCCATCCCTATAGCTATACATGCACGTACATATATATATGCATGATAAATAAAATTGATTACACTCTGTGGTAGCTCATCTGAGCGTAGTCTTGAAGTATATCCCTTCCTTCAGTCGTCTTATCAAGAACAGAAGTCGATCCCCAAGAACTCAACGACATAGTTTTCCTCTCTAGCTCCACATCTTCCGACCACCAGCTCGAATCGTTCGTTAGTTCAAACTCATTGCCCGCTTGAAACAATTCTTTAGAACCACCTCTGTTCATAAGGTCCATGTTATGATTATCTAATTCAAGGTCCTGAGAAAAACCGAAACCGTGAGCAGGGTTTAGGGCTTGCTCTACGTGATCTGAATAGATAGGAGATACTCCATTGTTAAGCTCAGCTATCTTGGTATGATTGTTAAGATGAGCAACGTTAACTCCTAGAGGGTGGAGGATTTCTTGGAATGCTAGCTTAGAGTTTTGATCAGGAGTAGTTATAGTACTCTGCAACAATGGATGAAGCTTGGGCCATAAGATAGGGTTGTTGTAGAAACTAGAGAAAGGGCTTTGTATATTCTGAAGCTGCATGTGAAGTTGAAGCCTCTCTAGAGCCGAGTTACTCATATTTTGAGGACTCTTGTTGTTGCTGATAATGTTTTCATTCGAATTGGTGATGGAGTCTTGACGATTCATTTGTTTCTGTCTTCCGAGAAGTTTTTTCTTCAGTTTGGTGTTCCAGTAATTCTTGATATCATTGTCTGTCCTTCCGGGAAGCTGAGCTGCAATTATAGACCACCTGCATATATCAGATTAAGGATACAATTATTAGAGAGAGGTTTAGAGGGAGATACCACCTGCATGTTTCAGCGTAAGATTCATAGACAAAGGTAAAAAGACAAGAGTCCGATCCCAAGTTAAAGTCTTATAGAAATTACCTCCAATTCAGAACCAAGAATATATATTATATTTTAACTAAGAGGTGTTGATTTACTTAAAGAACTAATCAATAGATCATCTAGCTATATAGATAAATCACTGACCTGCTTCCAATGCTGATGTAAAGATTCAAGATGATACTATCTTCTTCCTCAGAAAAGCCACCATGTTTGATGTTTGGTCTTAAGTAATTAAGCCATCTCAGTCTGCAACTCTTACCACATCTCTTCAACCCTATAAATTACATAAAACTTTAAAATCAGGGCAATTAATCTAGCTCATAAATATAAATCAATTAAAATCGGGACAAGGGGCTGTTGAGAAAATCCATATCTTATTGATAAATATTCAAAACGAAGCTCAGAATTATAAGTTTTGGTAGATCAAATTGAACAAGATGCAGTTACTTATATGATTAGAAGTATAAACTAATGTAATTATTACCAATTTTCTGAGGCAGTGCGATCCAGTTGCCACCAGTGCCATATTTGTCGATATAATCCTTGAGTTTCACATCTTCTTCAGGCGACCACGGCCCTTTCTTCACGTTTGCCTTGTCGCAGCATGGAGCTCTTCCCATTTTCTTACAAATCCTTTTGTCTTTTCTTGTTGTTGTTGTTGTTGTTGTTCTTCCAAAGTGTTATTATGCTTGATGAAGATGAAATGATCTAATGTTTAGAAGAGATGGTTTATAAAGACGAGAAAAAGGAAGGTATTAATTAGTGATTATTATAACTAAAAAGTAAATATTAAAATATATATAAAGTCGTCTCCGTGTTAATTTTCATATTTCAAATTCAACCTTAGCAAATTATATTTTCCTGACTAGGGTTTTTGTGTTTTCTGCGTTTGGATTAGTTTCTAACATTTTTTTGTTTATTTTTTTTCCTTAAGTCATTTATTTGCTTATTTGAAAGGTGAAAAGTTGTCTCGATTTTTAAATCATTAATGCAAAGAAAAACTTGCGGGAAATTTTGTCCAATTGCATGCACTTTATATATTTTAACTAATAAATCGAATTAAAGGGCAGGAAGCAAACCATCGTCTTGATTTGTCGTGACTTGGGTTGAAATGTTCCCCTCTGTACCCAATCAAATGTTAGCACTTAATTTTTGATGTACTTCTTAAATTTGAATATTTTTTTAAAGTTTATTAGAGTGGTTTGAATAAGTCAACTTATATGAGAAAAGGTATCCAAATTCTTGACTTTCTTATGACAGAACTGAGTGAAAAAAACAAGAGAATTTTTTTTTTTTTTTTTTTTTTTTTTTTTTTTAACAAGAGAATTTTTGGAACTTGCATAATGTATATATGGCCTCAGTAAGAAACTTCAGACAAGAAATGTTAATACTGTATTACTTTCTGTGAGAAAATGATGAACATTGTATTATTAAATCATAGAACGGCAGAATAGCAATGTGTTTCTATAGTTTTCTACCAACCATGCAATTCCATCACTGATAACAATTAAAGAAACTTTGTCACCCCGTACGTAGTTTTCCGTTTCAATAAAACGTTTATTGTTTACGGACATTAATGTAGAAACTCTGCAGGTTGAAGAAGTTTCTAAGAAATTAACCGATGATGTAATATGATGAGTATGAAAATGCGTGTGCCTTAAGGTAAAACCTCGTGTCGAGAAGTACGGTTATATGACTCGTTATCGTATATTTTGAAATTTTTATAAATTAATAATAATGAAATTACACCAAAATTTTTACTTTTTATTAATTTGAAAAATATTAATTTATCAAAATATTAATCGAACTAAAAACTCAATTTAAAATTAAAAAACTATATTATTTTATAGAGATATTTATTGTATATTAATTTATCGAATATTAATTTATAAGAGCATGTTTAATGCATGTTGCTTAGAGAGTTGCTTAAAAGGAGAGGAGTGCTTAATTTGAAGAGAGAAAGTGTGAAAAGTGCTTAAAATGCTTAATTAAGCACTTTTCACATACTTTCTCTTCAAATTAAGCACCCCTCTCCTCCTAAGCAATTCTCTAAGCAACTTCCATTAAACATGTTCTAAAGTTTCTATTGTAAGTTTTGATTCTTGTTTTTTTTTGAGAAAGGGCTATATAAGTTTTGACTTCATTTCAAAATAAGCATTTATTTCCATGTCTACGCCGATTTTTTTTTTTTTTTTTGACAAGGCTACACCGATTATTTATCTCTCAACTTTGTTCTAGAAGCTCTTGTTCTTTGACTTACAATTCTTCTACACATATATATGGATAAATATTACGTATGTGCAGTGGGTGAATTTTCAGCCTCGAATTCAACTGAATATGATGAATGTCTAAACTATAAATCTGAAATCTTAAGACTGCAAGCGTTTACAAAAGTGACGTAAAATATACGAAAATTCAGTTTTAGCGATTTAATCAACCATTTATGTTTTCCGAGGCCTGTTTTAGGAAGACATGATTGCTTTTTTTTTTTTTTCTTTTTCTGTTAAAGGATATTTCTTCAAACATTCAAAATTTCCATTACCATCATGTATGCTTTGATATTTAATCATTTAAAATTTTATGTTCTCCTTTGCCATGTATTAATTATTGTCTAATCCATATACAAAAGTACTAAATCAAACATTTTTCAAAATATTATCAAGTAAGCATGCATTAAATTTCTTATCCAGACTTTTTAGCCACAATAGTAATTTTAACAAACTTTCATTTATACATATGTCCCAAAGTACTTTGCATGAATCAGAACAGCAATGATTGTGAAAAGGGACTTAATGGCTTTTCTAACCTTGCAAGAGTTACGTCTAAAAGTGAGTAAGTTTCTATTATTAATAACTAAAGTGATTTTTATTCAAATGTATACGATTCTCTTATATCTGCTTATATTTTTCTAATAAATATCAGGATTTACTAATGTTGACGATGCGTTCAAAACTGATTGGTCTCAAATACTCTTTTTAATGAAAAAAGAGAAGCTTAAATACAATAATCGATCGGAATAAACCAGACAACTAACGCTAATTTCATTTGATTTATCACAAAGATGTTGTTTGGGGATAAAATTCATTTATTAAAATATCATTCATTAAAAAGCTGATTTAATTTTTTTTTTTTTTGAACACAAAAAAGCTGATATAATTAATCGGTTAAATAATCAAGTGAGATAAGGAACCACAACTAGGCAACAAAATAACAAGAGGAAACAATCAAAACTCCGAAAAGGAGCAACTAATATTCTGTATAATTTAATATCCCTACAATATAATAAGAGATAATGTGTATAATATATAGTAAAAGATTGAAGACACCAGGAAATTCAGTTTAATAAAAGCAACGCAAATGTATCTTGTTGTCCTTTTTCAGAACCCTAGAATCGATGCATTTGATAATCTCTAGCTATGCATTATAATCGAGCTGGTTAGTGACTAAATAAATGCATATATTCATATACTAGATAGTATAGACATAAAAAATTTAACTTTAGTTTTGTGCTTGATCTGTTTTATGTCATGAGAGGATACAGCTTAAAAGTAAGCTCAAATATATACACATACATATATGCGTAATAGATACTTTGAATCAAACTAATTAATTCAATACTGCTTGATATTATACTTTCCCAGCTAATCTTTAGATATCAGAACCATAAGGTTTGCTTAAAAATCATTGATCAAGACTCAAAGTAATAGGTAAATGCTAATAGACATTCATACGAGTTATGTTTAAAAAAAAAAAAATTGATACGAGTTTATCAGGTTTATATTGGACAATACGTTACTTAGATTCTTATAACTAGCGCCTATCGAATTCATTGATTTTACATATAATGGTTTCTGTATGTTTCTCATATTAAAAAGAAAATAATCACGTGGAGCAAATATTTATTTTGAGGAAGAAAACATTTAATTCCGATCCAACTATAAATATCGAATTCAAATGTATTGTATTGTGTTGTATGTATACTACCGTAACATTATGGCTAACATGTTAGAAGAGTAAAAAAAGTCTTTGACAAAAAAATGAAGAGTAAAAAAATTAAAGAACTAGTTTAATAAGGGGAGTAACTAATATTACGACCGTCAGTAGTAGAAAAATGAGGTAGACATGGTTTAGTCACGGTAACGCGTGACTTTTTTACTTCATTTTGTGGCTAAAAAAAATACACGTTTTGTTACAAAAGTATTGTGACTAAATAAAATCACAATTTATCATGGTTATGTTTGTGGCTACATTATCACGGTCCAAAATGGTGACTAAAACGTGGTTATGTAGCCACTATTTTGCCACGATATAAACACTAGACCACTGGACCACCAACACGTCGGTAACTAATTCTTATACAGATATACTAGTCTATTTTATATCTTATGTGTATACATCTTTCGGAAATTATGTTTCATTTATAGTATTTCATCTAATTTCATTTAAGGAAAATAAAATATAAATATTACACGTATGGGTATGTACATGTGAGTTTGACCATATGAAACAAGTCATTAACGCGTGTTAGGTGTTGCATTACGACTTAAGCTGGCATAATCAAAAGAACTAACAGTATACTTGTATTTATGTTTGTCGAAGACTATAGTTTCTTAAATGGTGTCACGTAACTTGACCTTACACTTAACTTATATTACTAGCTACTAAGACGACTAATTTCCAGAACTCGACCATTAATTATCATGAACTCATCAGACATATTTATGTATAATTAGTCTTAAACAGACTTTTTAACTAGTCTTAAACACACTTTACTTAAATTGCTTCCGTATTAGCTGGTATACATGCATCACCTATTAATAACCATAATTTAGGTTACAAATTAAACTTTGAATGTGGATGGATAACATAGCATTTATTAAGTCCACGAGTACAATGATTAACCCAACATTTGAATTTCCTGTATTAAAAATGGTAATTGGTTAGAAGGATTATGTTCTATGAACAAGGAAGATACGACATCAGAGTTGATAATGTCATGCTTTAGTTCTTCTCCTACTTCACTAGCTGAGTTTTTTTATTTAATAACAAGAAATCAAAATCTTTGGTACTTGCAAGGGGCTGACTTTTCTGTTTACAGAGAAGAATAGTATATTTGTTTATTATAATTAATTTACTATATTTATAAGTATTACTTAAGAATCAATTAAAACATTAAGTCAAACCTAATAGGTACTAACTACTGAGAAAGATAAATATTGAGAGGATTGCGATCCTATCAAATATTGTTGGCATCCCTCAAATGTGTCTTTGGACCATTTAATGCATTACCTAACCCCATCTCTAGAATGGTTTAAATTGGTTTGAATCATGTAAATCAGAACTTTAAGAAATAGTTTTAGTTAGAACATATTTATCGTCTAAATGGTGCAAAGGATTTAGAATGTAAAGTTTATCTTCGGACGAAGTTTGGCATTGTATATCTGTATGTGATATTCAAAGAGTGCTTCATCATATTCACTCACGTCATGTACTATACGATATACTGTATAAGACATATTCACCTATGATATTACATATTCCACTACATAAAAAGAAAGCAATGTAGATGCAAAAATATTATTTGTTCTACAAAAGAAAAGGATGCATAAACTAAGAAGTTGGTAAGACATAAATGCAAAAGAAAACCATATAAAATAAATATAATGAATGCAAATCTTACTGAGAAATGTGCAGTGTAAGTGGCAGTGCAACAGAGCACGTCCTTAAATCATAATAAAGGATGTAAAACCGAATAAAAGAACTTTCCAAATCAATCTGTCATATTCGTATCGACGATTTAACCTATGAAAATTAATATTCAGTGGCAACTGAGAAATGTTTTACAATATCATTTGTATCTTTATATAAACCGTGCTTAGTAAGAAAATATAAAGCATTGGCAAGCATCATTTTATGTTTATAGGGAATACTTATAAAGGTATTATTTTGTATAATCAACTGATAAAACGTTTTTCATAACTTTTTAACCCTCACAACTTAACTTTTAAAACTAAGTAATTCCAAGTATTTCTAAATTTAGATAAAATATTTGAATTTAAGGTTTATTTTTTTCTGAATATATTAATGTTTATATTTTTCAAGGGTTATAATAAAAAGATGTTTTAATATAGGCAATTTCATTGTCTTTTATGTATCACTATTATTTAAGATCTGTGCTGGAAATAAATAGTAAATATTATTGTGTTAAAGATAATATTTTCTGTTTTTTATTGTTTTACAAGTTAAATATAAAAATAATAATAGGTTTTTCGGTGACATTTTATATCAAGATTTCATTTCATAAAAATATTTTGTGTTGTTACATTGCAAAACAATTTAGCAAGAGATGATAAATATATGTTTTATTTGGCCTAGGACATTAAAACTGCTAGGCATGCAAAGAAATTTAATTCATAGTAATGATGACCAGTTCTTTTAATGTGATATTCTTTTTCACTTGTATTTACATCACAACTGTGTTTCAAAAAAAAAGTATTTACATCACAACTGTACAAAGTGTCAGCCCAAACGTAGTGTAAGTGATGATGAGTATTTATTTACATCCCTGTAATTCACATCACAATTGTACAAGTATCAGTCCAAACGTAATTATAAATGTTAGAATAAGCCAATTATCAAATGAAAATATAAGTTACACCTACAGTTTAAGTAGTTCTGTCTTGACAAAAAGATCTGTATTAATAATTATGAAGATTAAATAAGTCACTTTAAAGAGTAAACCTATTGAGAGAATCTCATTGGAATTTTTACAATAAATGCTAATCAAAATTTAAACTGAGAAAGAAAATGTATTAAAAGTATCTCATTTGAAAATTTCTGATTTTTTAAAGATATTCATTTCACACATTGCCATTTTTCTTGAATTTATGTTCTGTAAATTCAAAGCAATCAAATAATCAAATTACATTTTAATATTTTTTAAAATAGTATATGAATATTTAAATGTGGGATTGCTCTTCTTACCTTTGATTAAACAGTTACCAAACAAATGAATTTAAAGTGGATTGCCAGTTCTGCAACCTCATAAAAGATTAAACTTACTGCCTAAAAAGTAAGAACTCAATTTTATTTCCAACTTTTTTTTATCAACTTTATTTGCAACTATTAAAAGTCACAATATTCTATATAATAATGAATGGTTAAAGTTTATGGCAGTGGAATTGGGTTCGGAGAGTGGGTGTTGTATATAATTTACTTCCGCTCTCGTCAGAGTATTAAGCCTTTAGAGTAGAAATGTTTTTAATTTAACAAATCTACATTTTTAATGAAGAAAAAGTTGTTTATTCATTATACTTATAAAAAAATTGTGTAGTTCAATATTATAAAATTTGTATTTTTTTCCTTTTGGCATTATACGTACATAAAGTGACGTAAGTTATTATAAAATAAATCGTATAATTAATTAAATCTAGCATAAAAAGTATTGTCATTTTTGTTTCTTATATATGTCAAATTAATAAGGAAGCAAGTAGCATGGTCATGAACTTAACAGAGCCTTGCTATTTTAGCTCCTATCTTCCAAAACTCGACGCATTCCTGCAGAAGAAATGAGAGTTAATGCAAGATTCAAGGTTCTATATTATAAGGCTCCACCGTATCGAAGGATTCATCATCACAGCGAGCAACAAAGAAACAGAGAAAAGAAAAAATGAGAAGAGTGCCAAAGTCTTTGAGTGTTGTAGCCAAAGCCACGGTCCCAAGGGCTCGTCCCACAGCATCAAACCCGTTTTCCACCATGCCTCTACCAGAAAAAGAAGAAGAAGAAGAGGTGGAGCTGGAGTTCCTTCCTTTCCCTGACCACATCCCAGGTGGCCTTGTTGTCGAGAAGAAAAAGACCAAGACTGAAACATCAAGCGGGAAAAGCAGAGACAAGTCTAGCGAGGGAACCAACGTCAGCGGAAAACAAGACTTCGGCGGTGGTTGTAGCGGATGTCCTGGTTGCGGATATGGAAATGCGACTGGTGGTGGTGGTGGTTGTAGCGGATGCCCAGGTTGTCGCCGTTGCGGTTGCCCCAGGTGTAGCGGTGGTTGCGACTTATGCTTCGGTTGTGATGGGTGCAAGTATGAAGAATAATTTTATAACCGTTTGTGTTATGTTGAAGTTTATGCTTATGAATAATGATGTAGTAGTGTTTAAGTTGTTGTTGTCTTGGTTTAGTTTTAAAGGTGTTTGTTCATTCAGTGTTGTTATTGTGTGAAATATCAGGAAGTAATGTTTAATTTAAAATTAATTTGCAGTGTTTTATTATTATTCTTACTAATATGTGAAACTTACTATAAGTCTAGATATTTACTTAAAGTCTCCTGATAATATTTTTAAAAATGTAATTTATTACAAGGCCTCATACTTCACAACTACTTTTCGTCCCATTCAATGATAGTTGGCTTGCGCGGGAAAGGAAAAAGGATAGAAAAGGTTTTTTCATTTATGGGAATTCACATCTCGAGTTGACTAATAAATACGGAAGAGAATCTGTTTATGGAAACTTCCCAAAAGCAAAAACTCTTTGTGGTCTGTATATGAGAAAGAAGAGCAATTAGGGTTCTTTTGGATCTCTGAAAGACAATGACTCTGTTTTTGAACCGAATCTTGAAGCTCAGTGTAAAAAATCCATATCACAAGTCTTTAAGATTTGTCCTACTCTTACGTCTTTGTAATCTCTAACTTTGGTTTATGTCCACAGGCACACAGGAACAATGCTCGTTTGTTCTCATCATTACCTGAGTCCCCCTACTTGCTTCTCGGCGGTAAGAAGTTGCGAGACTCTCCGGAGGGACAAGTCGGGAAGCACTGGTTCTTTGACCCAACAAACGAAGAGAAAGTTTTCAGCAGTGAGAAGACGGTTCCTCCCGAGCTTAATGGACAACCTCTTCTAGGTGCATCACAGGGTTGGGTTGCTTGTCGGGAAAACAAAGAGTTTACCGTGCACCTCACGGATCTGTATAAACCATGGATCTCATCTCCAAGGGTCATATCTTTGCCTTCAATAGGGTTTAAACCCTCAACACATGCCACCGAAGTTTCTCTCTCTTCTTCTGATCCTCTCCAAGAGGAAGGCTTTTATGTAGCTGCAAAGTTCAGTGAGTATCAGCTCAGTGTATGCAGGCCTTGTGAGGACTCTAAGTGGACTCACATCAACACCCCTTACTCTCTTTTACCAGCTTCTGATCTCATGTATTCCAAGAGAGACAAAACCTTCTACTTCACCAGTTTCAAGGGTCTATACATGGGTTCCTTAGACATCAGCAACAAGGAGCTCAAGTTTCAAGACCTACGCCTACGTGGCCAGCCTAAGATCTCAGAGGCATGGTGGGAGATGTTGGACAAATGTTTCATGAGCAACCACTTAGTAGAATCTCCCTCTGGTGAACTCTTCTTCATCAAGTGGTAAGTGTTTCGAATCTCTTGAACAGTTTAGCTTATTTTTAAATTTAGAGCCTGTCCTGAGATTTTAGTATTATAAACAATTTATTAGTAAAGTTTTTAATATTTTTTTTTTGAAAAAAAAAACTATTTGGAGAAACTATGTTTATGTAAATCATTGTTCACTTGTCTATGCATAGGACTGCCTCTGCAATTTTAATATAACCATGTGGACTAGAAGTTGAGCTGCTTGTTTCTATGTAGGTACACACTTTGCATTCGCAGAGACGATGGTGAATTGATATTGATGCACAGCGTAACTAAGCGGTTCATGGTGTTTAGGCAAGATGATAAGAGCAAAGAGTTTTGTTACACTGATGACATTGGTGATCTATGCATCTTCCTTGGCCAGAGTGAAGCCTTCTGTCTCTCGGCTAGCATGTATCCAGGACTCAAGCCTAACTCTATCTATTACATTGGCTCTGGACTTGGATCCTACAATCTAGCTTCTGGTACGGTCCGTTCCTTTGATCCCCCACGTGGTAAACCCTTGCAGGTCCCTTATCCTTACTGGCTTCATCCCACTAATCAGTAATCCCATTGCTTAACATTTATATATGAACCGATCTCTATGTTGTGTGTTATTCTACTTCTTCATATTTGTTATAATTTATGTAATGATTATTTTAATTTATAACAACACATTCGGTAGGCAACCCTGGACCAAATCTTTTAGCGTCATTGCAATAGTTATAGATCATGAAGTTGCTTTGGACCCACTTAAGCCTCTTGATGCTATTTTCATCGATCCCTTCATTGAGCCATGAGTTTGGACCATCACCACTGCAAGATACATTAGAGCCAGGGGCTGACCAATCACAGTCTTGCACCTCATAGTTCCTGTAATAAGCTGTGAAAGGCGCTTTGGACCAGTCTATCTTCACGAGCCCTCCTCTTGTAGCCCAATCATCTCCGTTCCATAGGCTGGAATGGAATCGCATTGCTTGTTTCTCCGGATAAGATACGTTCATCGTTTTCATGTTCTTGAATTCTCTTATCGGTGTACCATCCACATAGAATCTGTCAAAAATTCGACTCTAAAATGTTGCTATCTTATGCTTAAGAGATGAATAGAGACAAATATTTTTAGTTTACATTATGGTTTTAGGGTTCCAGAGAATGGAGTAAGTGTGGAAATCAACGGTGGGATCAAACCAGAGACGAAACTGTTGTTCCCTGTCACCTTTTCCTTGTGTGATGACATTTGTGTGGACTGTGTAAGGATCACCACTTAGATTCCCCAAAATTCGAAGTCTATCTCATCCCACACTGTTCCTTTAGACGCAAGCTACGTAACATGCACACAAGCACATTAGTAAACGACACGTCATATCATCCCAAAAAAAATAATAATCAAAGAGAGGAGTTTTATGGTTTCTTACATAGTAAGATGTGACAGTACCAGCTGAGTTTCCAGGGACAAGCTTGAGCTCCATAGAGATCTTACCAAACAAAAACTGAGTCTTGGATTGAAAACCAGAGCCTGAAGCTTTGTCAAGAGACAATGTAATGGCTTGGCCGTTTTCTAGTATCTTTGCTTTGTCGCTTCCCCATATAATGTCAATGTCTTGTCTGAAGTCACCTGCCAAGACTAAAGCAGAACATGACAGAATAGACACAATGATCAAGATTTGTGAGCAACCCATGACTTGTTTCGGAAAGTTTATTGGTGGGTCGAGATTATTTTTTTATGTAAGAAATTTATATAAGTGAGTGAAGGTGTAAAGATGATAGACAGTGGCTGACATGTGGACGCGAAAGAGGAATATAAGGAAAAGAGTTTGTGTTTAGAGATGGCCATGTTTTGGCTTGTGAGAAAATAGAGGAGCAGATGTAAAGTGAAGAAAGCTTGTGTTCGACACATGTAGAAAGTTAAGTGAGAATTTATAGTTTCAACGATTCTCCTTTATCCATCGTTTATAACGTTTGGGGTTTAAGTTGTCTTTACATGAAAACCAATCAAAGACTATATGACCACTTCATACTTTTGAATAGATAATTAATATTTTTCAGTCCTCGGTATCTTATAGTATTAATTTTTTTTCTCACCTAAAAGTTAGAAATTATCTATAAAAAGTACAGCTGATATGATATTACATGTAATTGTAATCGTTATCATAGAAATCATACATATATAAATTCCAGCTTTTTGTACAGAAAATAAAAATATCCAAACCCAAGTAATCAATATAAGTTAAGATCATATATACAGATATTCCCGTACATATCAAATCTACCTTTTTTCTTAGTAAATATCTATCCACACAAGGAATTTGTAGATTTTTTGGACTTAACGTAAGAGTTCAGCCATGCTATCTAGCCACTTGGGCTAAGAAACTTCCTGACCACGACCGTCATCAAGTTGAATGTCTTAGCTGTCTCCACCACTACTGAATCAAAGTCAGTCAAAATCATTATTTTACCCAACTACTACCTTGTCCCTTTTAACGTGGCATCTCTCTTCTTCCTCCACAATAAATTTTGAATTTATTAATTAAATATTTTTAAAATATATACATATGCATGCGAGCCTTATCCTATTTTCTTAACCACTCTAAATGTTTTTTTCACTCTGACGTGTTAAAGTGAAAATACACAGCTACATTAAACTAATTAAGTTTAGCCTATAATTCATTATAGTTGTACCAAAAATATTACATTAACACTCAAAAGCAACGAAATTAAATTGAAGTATAAAATTGCAAAACCATTAAGCAAATCAACTGAAAATTGAGATGCCAAAAATAAATAGCTGAAAACTGTATTATGACGAAACCTAAACTGTTTATATCATTGAGAGACGATATCATGAACTTTAGTTGTCTAATAACTGCTGAAAAAATATACAGTAAAACCGTTATATAAAAAATATCATGAACTTACCTTAATGAACTTTTAGTTTGTTAAAGATACTAATGGACAATTTTAAAACAAACAATTCATCAATTATTTTGTTCTAACAGAATATCTTGGTTCTATTAGAGGAATGAAAACTCCTCCAAGGACGGTTCAAGCCGGTGGTAAAGTACCAAATCCCAACTTTTTAAAAGTAAAACTCCCGCTGACAAAAGAAAAAAGAAGAAGTAAAACTCCCAAAATTCAGTTTAATTTAAAAAAGTAATTATTTAATTTTTTTTGAAACATTATTAAAACAAAACGCGTGAACTCCAAAGCTTAATTGAAGACAGCTTTTACTAAAAGGGTGGCCCAATCACCAGCTGTTGCATCAAACACGGCTTCTTCTTTCACCATACGAACCTTCTTTGGAACCGCCTTTTAAACCTTTGCTACTACTATATATACATTCACTCATAAACCCTAAAAACTCACAAACCAAAAACCCACACAAAGAAAAATAGAAACCAAAAAAATCTCTCAAAATGGCAAACAACTACTTACTTCCTCTGTTTCTTGCTCTTATCGTCATCTCCTCTGTTTCAGCTAACTTCCAAAGAGACATAGAGATAACATGGGGAGATGGACGTGGACAGATCACAAACAATGGAGAGCTTCTCACTTTATCTCTAGACAAATCCTCTGGTTCTGGATTTCAATCCAAAAATGAGTACTTGTTTGGTAAAATCGACATGCAAATGAAACTTGTCCCTGGAAACTCGGCAGGAACAGTCACAACACTCTACGTAAGTTGCAAAAACAAATAATCTCCACGTTATGTTGTTACATATTGAAGTTCTTGTTTCTAACATTAATTTTCTTGTGCAGTTGAAATCACCAGGAACAACATGGGACGAGATTGATTTCGAGTTTCTTGGGAATCTAAGTGGAGATCCTTACACACTTCACACAAATGTCTACACACAAGGCAAAGGCGACAAAGAACAGCAGTTCAAACTCTGGTTCGATCCAACAGCTGATTTCCACACTTACACCATTGTGTGGAACCCACAACGTATCATTTTCACCGTCGATGGAACTCCCATTAGAGAATTCAAGAACATGGAATCTATTGGCACTCTCTTTCCCAAGAATCGACCAATGAGAATGTACTCTAGTCTCTGGAACGCTGATGATTGGGCCACGAGAGGTGGTTTGGTCAAAACCGATTGGTCTAAGGCTCCTTTCACTGCTTCGTACCGTGGCTTCAACCAAGAAGCTTGTGTTTGGTCGAACGGCAAGTCGTCTTGTCCTGATGTCTCGAAACAAGGGACCACTGGCTCGTGGCTGTCCCAGGAGCTTGACTCAACTGCTCAAGAAAGGATGAGATGGGTGCAGAAAAACTACATGATCTATAATTATTGTACGGATTCAAAGAGATTTCCTCAAGGTCTTCCTAAAGAGTGCTTAGCTGCGTAGAGAGTTGAGAGTGGAACAAAATTATATTTTTTCTTTATAGTTATAAAATTATATTCATTTTATATTGTAGTTTACGTGAATTTATTGATTCGTTTGCAGCGTATTTAATAAGAAGTAATACTCCCTTCCGTATTGTATTTAAATTATTGACTTATTACATATTCCACAACTAAGAAAACTCAATACATTTTTTTATCAATTATATTTTAGTTTTTATTTTGATTAGTTAAACGTTTTATTTTTTTCCAATAAATTTTAATCACTGATATATATGTAATTAAAAAAATGCATTAACTAAACCTTATAACATCAATATTTTAAATGCAAAAAAAGTTAGACACATCAATCATTTAAATCTGAAGAAACTATATTATGAATGTACTCAAAAGAAAAATCGAACCGGGGTTAAACTAAACCGGGCCAGACCGACTTAAACAGAAAGAAAGAAACGAGCACACGTAGCATGAGGCACAAGTAAGCACATGCTTGCTTCACAACAACCAGCTGTTCACATATTAAACAACACAAGAGTCACAAGCGGCGAACTAAACTACAAGTGTACTAAGACTAGCCTCCCTTGTATAAAACCACCCCCAACACACAAGGTCCGTTCCACTTTGATCTTATCTATATTACTTCCACTCACCGTTTCGACCACGACCTTCTTCTCTCAGGTTCTCGCCGGAACTTTCGACACGGAGTTTGATATCACTTGGGGTGATGGTCGTGGGAAAGTCCTCAACAACGGAGAGCTTCTCACTCTTTCTCTTGATAGAGCCTCCGGCTCTGGATTTCAATCCAAGAAAGAGTATTTGTTCGGAAAAATCGATATGCAGCTCAAACTTGTGCCCGGAAACTCGGCAGGCACAGTCACTGCGTACTACGTACGTTAGTGTTGCATAATATCAAAATCATATATTTTTTCTACGATGTTACCATGTCACATGGTGGTTGATATTTTCTAGCACAGCCCAAAAGTTATTAGCTTCAGCCCACATAATATACATAGATATAGGTTTCAAACTGTTGAACTTTTTTGTTTTATTAAATTTTTACTAAATATCAGGTCTTCAAAATTTCAGGGCCAACCATGTTTCATGTACTTGATCAATTTTGATATGCAATTTTAGAACTTTTTTGTTTTCTTCATGCAGCTGAAGTCGAAAGGTGACACGTGGGACGAGATTGATTTTGAGTTTCTTGGTAATCTAACTGGTGATCCGTATGTGATGCATACGAATGTGTATACTCAAGGCAAAGGTGATAGAGAACAACAATTTAATCTCTGGTTCGATCCAACGGCTGATTTTCACACTTACTCTGTTCTATGGAACCCTCATCACATCGTGTAAGTATAGCAAATAAATTAAAGCTTTTATGTTCAACCTAGAAAATTAACACATAATCTTTATAGGTTTTAAGAGTCATTAATATATTTTGATGCAGTTTCTCGGTTGATGGAATTGCTATAAGACAATTCAAAAACCTAGAACATAGGGGGATTCAGTATCCGAAACTGCAGCCAATGAGGCTCTACTCAAGCCTATGGAACGCGGACCAGTGGGCTACAAGAGGAGGTCTTGTTAAGACCGACTGGTCCAACGCGCCATTCACCGCTTCTTACAGGAACTTTAGAGCGGACGCATGTGTCTCGTTCGCTGGAAAATCATCTTGTCCAGCCAGTTCACCAAGATGGTACACTCAGAAGCTTGATCTAACTGCGGTAGATAAGATGAGAGTGGTGCAGAGTAAGTTCATGGTTTATAACTATTGTACGGATACCAAGCGGTTTCCTCAAGGGTTTCCGAAGGAGTGTAATATTCACTAACTTCGAGAACTTGTGTAGTTTATTAATGTGTGGTCCGAAACTCCAAAGCCAGTAAGTATATTGGTTCGTTCAGATGATGTATGTAATGTTGTGTGTATTTGGGGTATATGTCAAACAAACTACCCTGTTTCTATGTACATGTTCATAATAAAATGGGTGTGAATTATGAATGATAACAACAGGCATCTATCGATAGGCTTGATAGCACAACGACAGCATTATCAAAGCCACTATGATACATGCTATTGTTGAGCGTGAATGATCAGTTTTGTGTTTTGTTGTTTCATTCACATAAATTAAAACTATGCTTTTATATAATAATGTTATATTCTGTGTTAAAGATAATTTATTTTTGTCTTTTGTCAACAAGATAATTAAACACTAAACTTGGAGAACCAAACCGTATATACAGTGTATGAACGCAATAGGTGACAGCTGAACTAGAGAAAAAAAATAAAACTAAAATGGATAATGACCATTTCTATTTCTAGAAATAAATTCTTGAAAACAAAATCGAATTAATCAAGATATTTTTTATGATCATTTCTAGAAATAAATACTACTATATGCCAAGTAAGAGGGATCCAATGACTGCAAACCCTTTCCTTGCAAAAGAGGCTAACTAATTTAACCCACCGTTGACGATATCTTGTTTCACAAGCAAAAACGTCAGTGAGACCTTATCTCTTCTCAATCATTCCCTTTTTGTATTCATTTCTCAATTTTGTTTGTGTTTCTATTGCGCATGCTCTATTTTTACATCTCTGTTTTCATATAACTTCATCAAGTTGTATGATGATGGATGCAAATTAATGAACAATCGGGCAGAGGAAGCCGAGAAAAACAGTGAGATTCCTTTAAGATGTGTGTGGAGGGAGACAAGAAGAACAAGAGAGACAGCTTTTACGATTTATGACCTGTTACAAAAAAAAAAAAAAAGATATGTTTTGACCTTAATTTGAAACTAAAGACATGTATGAATGGTAACTATGAGCCGGATGTGCTGATTCATTCCGTAATAAACTATGAGTGTTTTCAACTTTTTGACTATGATTGACCGAGATTTTTCAGCCTGAAAATGAATATTCTGAATTTTTGTAATTGTATGCAAAGCATGGGAGAGACTCCATGAATACTTCACGTTGGTAGGTGCCTTAAATAATTATGCGTGACAATTCTTACATATGTGGCTGACATGTCCTCTCTAACTTTCAAAAATCTGTCGGTCCATTTTACCTAAAACTAAAACAAATATTGCTTACTTTAATTGTACGAATCGTATTAAAACGTTTCTTTATTCAAAAATTTTATATGAACTAGACTTACATAGCAACCCCTTTCACAAAAAAAAAAAAAAATTAGACTTACAAATTTGAGCCAGCTGCATGATAACCTTTGAAAGAGAAAAAAACAACCTACACGTATAATTTTGTGTATGTTGAACGACTATTATATGTTTATAAGCTAACATAATTCATCTATTTATTAATAAAAATTAAGTTTGGTTTGTGTAAGACTACCACGTCCATAATGGGACTCCACGAACCTCTAATGCACTCGGTTTCCAAAACCCATCTCCCTATTTAAACACAAATCTTCGATCATACTAAAACCATCAGAAAACAATCACTTAAACAACAACAAAAGAACAAAAAAAAATGGCGGGTTTTGAGACCAAATTGATGTTGACGTCGTCTCTTCTGCTCTTGATCGGCCTATGTACCGGAAGTTTCTACGACAACTTCGATATCACATGGGGTGATGGTCGTGCCAACATATTTGAGGCTGGACAGCTGTTGACATGCACCCTAGACAAGATCTCCGGTTCAGGTTTTCAATCAAAGAAAGAGTATCTATTCGGAAAGATCGATATGAAGATGAAACTTGTCGCCGGGAACTCAGCAGGAACAGTCACTGCTTACTACGTACGTAAACGCAACGTCTATCTTCCTTTTTTTGTTAACATTTATTGTATGATATTGAATCTTACATTTAAGAATGTTTTCACAGCTTTCCTCTAAAGGCGAGACATGGGACGAGATAGATTTCGAGTTCTTGGGTAATGTTACTGGACAACCTTATGTACTCCACACAAATGTGTTCACAGGAGGTAAAGGGAACCGTGAAATTCAGTTCTACCTCTGGTTCGATCCCACCGCTGATTTCCACACTTACACCGTCCTTTGGAATCCTCTCAACATCATGTAAGTAAATATAATTAACACAATGTTGTTTTTTGATAATTTGGTGACCATGCCACCTATATGTATTCACTATTAAGTAATAGCTCTTTCGAATTTGAGGACTAAGACGAATGTTTCATATTTAGCTGTGCACATAACAAACATTGCTCTAGAATCTCGATATGATCTATGACGGTTCTTGACTTTGTGTTCTGTTTTTATTGGCATCTCAAAAGATTTCTTGTGGACGGTATTCCGATCCGGGTGTTCAAGAACGATGAGGCCCACGGTGTGGCTTACCCGAAGAGCCAGACGATGAAGATATACTCGAGTCTATGGGAAGCTGATGATTGGGCGACTCAGGGTGGTAGAGTCAAAACCGATTGGTCTAACGCACCATTCAGCGCTTCCTACAGAAGTTTTAGTGATGTGGACTGTTGTAGCCGGACTTCAATATGGAATTGGGTTACGTGCAATGCGAATAGCAACTCGTGGATGTGGACAACACTTAACTCGAATCAGATGGGACAGATGAAGTGGGTGCAAGATGAGTATATGATCTATAACTATTGTACTGATTACAAGAGGTTCCCTCAAGGTTTACCCACAGAATGTAACCTCGTCTGATGATGTTGCCAAGAAAAATTGATGCAGTTTCTTTTCTCTGTCTAAGTTGGCCTCATGATTTCTTCATTTGATTTTGTTATTCTTCTGCGTTTCTAAGACTTGTTTCCCTATGGGATATTATTGATTATATTCTTGGTTATCTGACATAATTTTACTACACTGTTGTTTTTAATATATTAAAATGTCAATGAAATCTTATTCAGTTCTAATTAGACCGACCTGAAACAGAACAAAGAAAAAATATGGGTGGTAAATTCATAACACAAAGTGAAAACAGAGTATTCTACAGCAAAACAAAACTCTATGTAATCGTCACTGAACAAAATAAATAACTATGATTTCTCTCTTATTCATATTTACCTGGGCCTTGGGCTTTTAACACATAAAGGAGCCCATTATAAAAAATTAAACCAGAAAGTAAGAATTAAATCAGAATAACATAATATGGCTAGTTGTCTAATTTGATTGCAAGCTTAAAATCTCTCTATATTTTAAACTATTTTAAATTAGTTAGTCGAATAAGCTAAAATCTGGATGGTATTCAAACGAATCATCAACTTCCACGTCCCTATCTCTTTAGAGTCAAACTTGAAAAGACTCAGTGTAATTCTTTTAATAAATTAATTTATTTTAATACAAAAATTAAGATAACTACTGATTTGACTTTTTTACTTCTAACACAATTTAAAAAAAAGAGTGATTTAGTGTATTGCCCCAAATAGAGGCCCAAATTGGCGAAGTACCCATTGATTGACATATAGGGCCCGAGACATACCCTAACCATGGCAAAAAGATGGAACTAACCTCGCACGAAAGATTTGATCTTCGGCGCTTGTGTCAGTCGACTGACACAAGATATCCACGCCGATTCTAATAGCTGCCTACCCTACTCTGAAACCTAGGACGACTTGTGTGCAATTAAAACACGTTTCCTCGGTTATCCGTGATTTCTGTTTAAGCGCAACATCCTAAGCTACCTTGGAAAAGTTTAGTGTACGTAATACCATACTAATTTGAAGATAAAAGAAGGTTGATTTGGGTAACACTTTAGTTTTCAGAACCAAAAAAAACTGTGGGAGTAAGAGGGAGAACGAAAGCTGTGATTTGGTGTTTGTAGAAGATAAACTCAGGAGACAGAAATCGTTTTTTCTCGTAGTGTAAGTTGTAAGCTTTGTCTATATATCCCACCAAGGAAAGGTTGTTCTATATCCTTAAAAGTTTTGAGTTACTGATAATTGTAATGTTACACCGTAACAGGTTTGGAAGATGAGGCACCAAGTTCGTGTCGTTGTTGGGGACTGGGAACGAGGCGCTCAAGGCGCATGGAGGTTCAACGTGGATAAAACCATGATAGTAGCTGACGTCGAGCTTAAGGAGAACGAGAGTTACATCTCACTTGTTGGTATGGTGAGGGAAAAGTTCAACGTAGACCCACTGTANTGACTTACCACTACCCAGACCTTGAAAAAGAGCCTGAGGAATACTCAGCACCACCCATCGAAATAAATGAGGACGAAGACGTGGCTGTGTTCATGGCTGTTAGGGTTGACAATGTGTGGCAGGAGCTGTATGTCACATTGGGTGGAGAGGATGTCTACAACTACCGGAGGCAGAGGGAGGTGGAAGATGGAATGACAGCATCAGAACAAGTAACACCGGCGTACGGGTTAGTGAGTATCGAAGGTAAAATAACATTTTCCCGTAAAAGAAATATTTTACAGCAAACGTTTTCTGTATCGGAAAAGAAGGTATCTCGTAAAGTAGTCCTCCCAGTAAAATAGTAATTTAGCAGTTAACGACGCAGTTATCGGGTAAATATATTTTTTCCTGGTGGATGTCAGTGGAAAAACTAGGGTAGACATGTATTGATTGAGAAATTTATTGTGGTTTATGTTTGCAGATCTTACTGCGAGAGGGTACATGGTTGTGTACGGGGAAATTTTAAGGGGAATATGCACGGCTGATGAAATGAGCATACTGGAGCAAACCGCCCTTGGGTGTGGACCAAATGATCTTCAGCTTGACCCGACGATGACAGTGAACCTAGAATCGTCTGAGGGTTCTTCTGGCATCCCTCTTAACCAGGCGGGGGCAATAATAACAGGGGCTGCTATAAGAGAAGCAGAGGAAACCAACGCTGAAGTTCAGATTGAGGAAATCACCTTCGCGTTAGGTAATACTATTTTTTTAGAGGAAAAACTCAAATTATACGTGAAGGAGATAGTTTTATGTAATCGGAATGTGTGACTACTAATTAATAGGGGCAGAAGGTAATGAAGTGGAGGAGATAATACGGGACAAGGGTAAGGGAGTAATGATGAGTGATGAGTCGGTAGAGAGACCATTTCAAATTGGAACTTCTTCAAATTTCCAATTTGGAGAGCAACTGTTGACTGGAGGGAATGCGTCAAACATGAGTAATAATCTTAATGTTTTAATAAATATTTTATGTTAAATAATTAGTTAACAGTTAAGGCAAAAGTTAAGGGATAACATAAGCATTATCAGGTACCGGCTCAGCGACACAGCTGTCCCTAGCACTGGGAGTTGACGAGCCTGATGCTGAGGATGACGTTTCATTGGCGTGGATGCGAAACTTGAGTCAAGAGTTTGACGAGGCGGGGGGTAGCAAATGTTATGGAAAGGTCATTAAAGGAAAGGATACTACCAGGCTGCCTTTTTGTGGTATTGAAGTCGGAGGTATAAAAATAATTTTAATAGTAGAGCATAAAATGATACATTCTAACAATAAGACATGGAACGTATTTAGTTTACGGTTAAACTATGAAGTACCAGAAAACTAAAATATTTACTGAAATGGAAAAGTTTACCCGTCATATAGTATGGTGCGATAAATACGATTTTGTTTGTGATTATCAGGACTTGTGGCAGATGAGCCAAAAGGAGAGCTTTTTGTGGGGAAGATATTTGAGAGCAGGGAAGCCTTCAAGCTCCATATGACCCTACATGCAATCACAAACAAGTTTAGGTTCCTCATCAAAAAGTCAGAGCCAGGCAAAATGGTACTACACTGTAGGGGAGCAGCGTGTGGATGGAGAGTGTATGCGGCGAAGATGGGAGGATCTGCAAGCTTCGAAGTGAGGACTTTAGATAACATCCACACGTGCTCGGTGGCTGATAGGTGGGAGTTCAGACATCATGCGAACTCCAAGTTTGTTGGAGATATGGTTAAGCATAGGT